TTCCCCCCCCCTTTCCCCCTTTCCCCCCTTTCTTTCTTTCCCTTTTCCCACAGGCTTTACTTGCCACCCCCATTCCCGCACCAGGCACTTTTCCCGCTTTTGTGCCGATGCTCAAAATAGACCCCGGGGCGGCCAGGGGGGGGGAGACCAGTTCGCGCGACTTTGGGGGGGAAGTGGGCCAGCACCGGCACAGAAGACCCTTTTTCGGTGGTTACCCCCCCCCCCCTTTCCCCCCCCCCCCCTTTATTAGGCTGCGATATCCGACGATGAGGCCGGGGCCCCCTTCAAGGTGCCGCCTCTTGGCTCTGTGAAGTACAAACAACGTCTTTTCTCACGGTATCCGATGTGAGCAGGAGGGTCTCAAGGGTGAGTCCCTTGCCTACCTACTCGCGAACGGTGTGCGCCCGGGCAGCGCTGCATATCTTAGGGTAAACTCCACCGCCGCCAGCCGCGCCACCACAGCTGCCACTTTTCCCCTTGCACGCCCCCCCCCCCCCCTTCAAACAAGCTCCTTCCGCAGGCGCGAGTGTAATGAACACGACCAACCAGACGCAGAGCACTGACGCCATCATGATGATGATGGTGAGCCCACACTTGCTGCCGCATGACGAAAGTGCGTACGAGGAGCGTGGAGCACTTGGAGTGCAGTCAGAAAGAAAGAAAGAAAAGGGACCAGCCAAGGGAGGGATGGGAGGACGGCACGCCGCCACCACACAGGGATTTTAAGGAGAGGGGTGTGATGCGCCAGCCGTCGTTAACCTCACAGCAACGTAATATTTTTTTTGGTTCACAAAAGCGGCGGCGCATATTCCCGAGCGCCATCAAGGTCGTTAGCGGATCAACCCAGCGCCTCGCAAAACTGAAGGTCCGCCGCCATGGACACCGTCGTCAAGGCTGCGACCGGCGTGTACGTCAAGAGCTTCATGGCGGAGTTCCTGCAGGCGCGGCTGGCCGCATCCCTCGCCGCGAGCCCGATAGTGACGGCCTGTTTGCCACACTTGCTGTAGATGTGTCCACTCGCCCACGCGCTCTGGTGCCTCACGGGCCGCGCCTTCTCACTCGCCGTAGCGCCTCCTGCGCAGTTCTTCACCATCATCCTCGCCTGGATCACCGGCATCCTCGGCATCGTAACGCTCATCTACGGTCGGCGCCTCTCCCGCCGCTCAGCGTGCCGCCGCGATCCGCTCTCATGAGCACGCGCCGCGCGACCCCGCAGGCGTGGGAGCGCAGGTCGTCGCGCTCGGCGCTCCTGCCGCGGCGGTCGTTGCGGGAGGGGCTATGGCCTCCGCGGTGAACGACATTGCATCGAACCCGATCGGCATGCCTCGCGGCTCGTGCTCTCCACCGGCAGGTGTGTCGCCCGGCTCACCTACACTCGGTGACGGTAGGAATGTCTCCTGACACCCTCGTCGGCACGACGGGGAGCCTGCTCGGCGCCTCGGGCGACTCTGCGGCCACCCAGCTGCAGGCGGACCTCCAGGCCAACGGCGTCGAGCTGCCGACAGACATCGGTGTGGCGCCCTCTCGCCCTCCGCGCCTCTCCTCTGTGCCTATTCCTCCTCACGAGTGCCACTTGTGTACTCGGCCGCCAGACCTCCCTCGCACCCCCTCCCCCTCCCCCACACCTCACCCGCCGACGCTGGATGCTGAGTCGCCTCCCTCGCCCTCTCGATGTGCCCTCCCCG